AAATAGGAGCTGCAGTGAGCTCTGCAGTCAGCCTGCCTGGGTTTGCATCACTTCTCTTACCGGCTGTGTGACACTGGGCAAGTTACTTACCCTCTCTGTGCCTCAGGTTCCTCATCTGTAAAATGGGAGTGATAATAAAAGTACTGCCCTCATACTTTTTTGGGACACTTCAAGGAGGGAATGGATGTAAAGGATGCATGCCTGGCACCTACTAGGCAACTAATAAATAGTCGTTATTCTTATTAATATTAATTTGTACTGCAAAGATTTCTGAAGTCATGAGAGCCTGATCCTTGCTGTTAGGGGTTTAAAGGGCCCCTGGATGTGAAAATGTTCCCAGGAGGGGTAGTAATGCCACTGGTTTCTATCTGATGACCTGTTGGGGACAGGGGAAAGCTGGTGTCACAGGTAGTGATGGGGGGGGGAGGCTGGGGACCAGAGGGGCCGTGGGGGGAAGAGGAAGGCATCCGCCAGGAAAGCGTACACGGGGAGGAAAGACCACCATGGCCGTAACTCTAACATTTCGTACCCAGTCGCAGCAGCTCAGGCTGAAATAGGTCGGGCAGAAAACAGAAATTACTTACAGCCGCACTTAGCCCTATCCGAATAAGCAATCGTTTCCTCCTCACAGCAATGCCACGAGGATGTGCTCACACGCCCACTTAACAGATGAGACAACTGAGGCCCAGGAAGCTCAAGTGACTTGTCAGACAGCCAATCTGTGGTATGACCAGGACTACAACTCGGGCTGTACAAACCCAAAGCGCCTCTTCTTTCCCTAATACATATTCTGTCGCTTCCTCTTGGCACTCCCCCTAATGCAGTGGATGGAAATGCACCTCCTTTCTCCCCCTGGCCCCCCAAGTCAGTTGGTCCCCACCTCCTGTGCAGCTGAGGTGAGCCTCTGCTGTCAGGCGAGAACCCATCCATGGGACCTTCTGGCCTCCTTTGGTGACAACCACTGGGGTCGTCTGCGAGGAAGAGCTAGTCCGGCCCAGTGCCAGGCACCTCCTAGTCCCAGCCCTCCTCCTCCGGTGGCCCCACTCCAGGCTGGCCACCATCCCCTCTATTAGGAAGGGTTTAAATTGTCCCTGCCCACAGGCGGGACTGTGACGTCCGCTTTGGAAGAAGCCACTGGGAAGGAGCAGCTCAGCCCCGTGACCTGGACCCTGGTCGCCCCACCTGCCATCTGTGCCCCACATCAGATAAGAGCGCGGCACTGAGCAGAGCAGCAGGGCGCAGGGAAGGAAAAGCGGGTTAGCCCCCGAGAGAGCCGGCGGGACCCAGGGACAAGCCAAGGCTTCTGTCCTGCCTGCCCTCTCCGGCTGGACACCGTGAGGGCCGGACCAGACCATCTCCAGGGACCTCCCAGTTCCCCCAAACCCTTCCTTCTTGGGGCTCCCTAAGGAACAGAAAGACACAGTCCCCACCCTCAAGAAATCCAAGCGGGGAGACCGGGATGATGTGCAGACAGGGAGCTTCGTAGCCACAGGGATCTGGATTCAAATCCCAGCTCTTGAGTATGAGGCCTCCAGTTACTTAACTTCTCCGAATCTCAGTTCCTGCACCATAAAATGGGCCAGAAAACCTACCCTCAAAATCACAAGGGAGGGCCGCACGTGAGATCCCACTTCACATCCACTGGGACAGCTACCATACAAAAAGAAAAAAAAAGAAAAAAAGTGAAAATAACAAGTGTTGGCGAGGAGGTGGGGAGATCAGAACTCTGTGCTTTGCTAGAGGGATGGGGTAAGGGTGCAGGCACAATAGAAAAGTCTGGTGGCTCTTCGGAAAGTGAAACAGAATCAGCAGCAACTCCGCTGCTAGGTGCATACCCACGAACTGAAAGCAGACTCCAATACTCGTGCACCCACATTCACGGCGGCATGAGTCACAGCAGCCAAAGGCAGAACCAACCCAGTGACCGTCAGCGGGCGAACAGGTAAACGAAACGTGGTCCACCAGACAGTGAAATAGTATTCAGCCATGAAAAGGGAGGCAGTTTTGAGCCGCGCCACCGCACGGGTGAAGCCAGACAGCAGCACGCGCAGCGGCACGAGCCAACGCAGGAGGACAAAGGGCTGCGTGATTCCGCGTCCGTGAGGTTGCCGGGATGGGCACACGTGTAGGCACGGGAAGTGGCGCAGAGGTTGTCAGGGGACAGAGGGAGGAGAGATGGGGACTTACTGTTTAATGGGTACGGTGTTTCAGTCTGGGATGATGGAAAAGTTCTGGAAATGGATGGTGGTGATGGTTGCACGGATATTGTGAGTGCGCTTAATGCCACTGAACCGTACGCTTAAAACGGCGAAAATGATAAATTTTACGTTATGTGTATTTTATTCCAACAAAACAAAAAGTTTTAAATGTAGCATCTGCGGCCAGGCGTGGTGGCTCACACCTATAATCCCAGCACTTTGGGAGGCCAAGGTGGGAGGATCAGTGGAGGCCAGGAGTTGGAGGCCAGCCTGGGCAACAGAGTGAGACTCTGTCTATTAAAAAAAATAATAATAAGTAAATATGTCACCTGAAAAAAAAAAACCATGAGGGTTAAATGAGACAAGATGCGTAACCCTGCAGTGCATTTGCTGGCAGGAGAAACGTTGTCCCCAAACAATGCCGTTGCCAGGAAGGAAACAAGAGACGTATTAAAGTCCACCAAGCGAGGGCCTGCACCCGCCACGCCCGGGGCAGACGCGGGGGCAGTGAGGGTTTGCAAGGCTTTACTGCCCACCCTCTACTGGACCCCCGCCCTCAAGGAGCCCCCACTGTCCAGTGGGGGGAGCAGGCAGGCCCACCATTGACACCCAAGGAAGGTTGACAGTGATGAATGACAAGGTCCAGAACACTCCAGGAGATCAAAGGCGTTCAGAGGTGAGAGTGAGTTCACCAGGCTGGGAGGGGCAGCAGGTGCTGGATGAGACACTGTCCTATAAACCAAAGTCCTAGGGAATTTGAAAGTTAGGGCAAGGACAGCAGGGTTGCTGGGAACCTGGCAGGCTTCCTGGAGGAGGTGGCCTTGAACTGAGTCTTTTTTTTTTTTTTTTTTTTTTTGAGACAGAGTCTCGCGTTCTTGCCCAGGCTAGAGTGAGTGTCATAGCGTCAGCCTAGCTCACAGCAACCTCAAACTCCTGGGCTCAAGCAATCCTTCTGCCTCAGCCTCCCGAGTAGCTGGGACTACAGGCATGCGCCACCATGCCCGGCTAATTTTTTCTATATGTATTAGTTGGCCAATTAATTTCTTTCTATTTTTATAGTAGAGCTGGGGTCTCACTCTTGCTCAGGTTGGATTTGAACTCCTGACCTCGAGTAATCCTCCCGCCTCAGCCTCCCAGAGAGCTAGGATTACAGACGTGAGCCACCACACCCGGCCTTGAACTGAGTCTTGAAGGAGGGGAAAATAGGACCCTCCTTAGGGACGCCAAGCTTTCTAGCAAGCCCTCTGCTTAGGGTGGATGCAGCGAAGAACATTTATGGAGCTTCTACCCAGTGCTTAGGTCACACAATCCTAACGGTGACCCTGTGAGGTGGCTGTCGTTGTGCTCATGTTATAGACAGGGAAGCTGAGGCTCAAAAGACTGAGTAAATTGTCCAGGTTGGTGGCATGAAGGTTGCAGCCCAGGCCTATCTGATCCCCCCAAACCTGTGTCCCTCACACAGTACAAACCCGCCCCCGAACGATTAGAGCTGTCCCCACTTCCCACGCGACTCCCTCCCACTTCAAGGCCTGGGCTCAATCCAACTTTCCACTTACTTGCTGTGCTACCTTGGGAAATGTACTCCAATTCTCTGATCCTTGGTGCCCTTCTCTGAAAAAAATGGGAGAACATAAGCCCTTACCTGGAAGAATTTCTGTGAAGATTAAATGAGATACTGTATCTAATGTGCTCGATACAGTCTCTGAACATATTATAAATACCCAACAGTGGATAGCTGCTTCTATAATTATTATTATAGCTACTGTCTCAATTGTTATTAAAGCAAAGAGAAGCGGTTAAGCAGGGATCACAATTTCAAATGCCCGCAGAAGCTGAGCAGGCAACACAAATCTGTGAATTGGGAAGTGCAAGACAACAGGGTACGGCGGGGTCTGTGGCAAATCGGAGTGTGCGTGCCCCTGCTTAAAAACAGTCTGTTGCAAAAGAAAAAATGAATTTTTGATCTTTTTCTCTGCGGAGGGGAGAGGGGCTAGAGATTGAGTTTGATCACCAATGGGTGATGATTTGATCAATCGTGCCTAAATAAAGGAGTCTCCATAAACACCGCTAAACAATAGGGTTCCGGGAGCTTGCGGGTCGAGGGCAGCTGGTCCCGTGCAGAGGGTGTGGAAGCTCTGCGGCCCCCTGCAGCCCGCGTCCGAAGCATCTCTCCCATCCGACGCTTCCGGAGTTGTATCCTTCACAACAAATCGGTGAACTCACGCAAAGTGTTCTCCTGAGTTCTGTGAGTCATGCAAGTAAATTATTGAACCTGAGGAGGAAGTCATGAGAGCCCTTGATTTACAGCCATTGCTCAGAGGTATGGGTGGCCTCTTGGGGCTTGTGACCGGCATCCAAAGCAGGGGCAGTTTTGTGGGACGGAGCCTTATAACTTGTGCGATCTGCACTCATTCCAAGTCGTTGTTAGCGTCAGAATGGCACTGAATTGTCGACACCAGCTGGCGTTGGGGAATTGCAAGATCGGTGTGGAAAAAAAGAGAAAAAACCCACACAATTTGGGGTCAGAAAAAAAAGACAACACGTGGTCAAACTAAAAGTAATAACAACTTTTTAAAAGTGCAGTACAGGGTCAAGCGACGGGAGAGAGCCCAGGGTGAGTCCCGGGGGCCGCCCTGCCTGCCGTGCGCCTGCTCCGTCCGCCTGCTCGGTGGCTCTGCAGCTGTCGCTCCCCGCCCCCACAGTCGCTGAGTCGCTGAGTCGTGTACTGTGCATGTTTCTGTGTGTTCTTACTTCACAATGTGCAATTGTTGTTTTTATACCCAAAGTTGTTTTTTATATCTACCGATACCAATCAAATAAAACACATCTGAGGACCAGGTGTGGCCCCAGGCAGCGAGTTTGCAGTCCCCGAGTTGGGTACTTTCTCCCAGATGGAGACCATCTGCCACACCGGCATCACCAGGGACCAGGATTTAAGGCTCTCATCAGGTAAGAGCTAGCAGAATTGGAACAAGACCGGAAGAGTTCGTCTGGTCCAGCCCCCTTCCTCCTGCACATAAAGTTATTATTCCCATTGCTCAGATGGGGCCACTGAGGCCAGGGACACCAGAAGGCACCATCTCTCACTTGGGGCCTGAAAATTCCCAACAGCCTGACTCTCAACCTCCTCTTCACAAGCCTCAGGAAGTCCCCGAGTCCCCCTTCTAGTCCGCTGTCTAGAAGAGGCGGGTGGGGTGACGAGGCTATCCCAGGTGGCTTTAATGGCATTGATTCACCTTTGCTGAGATTTTAATCACCACTTTAGTGATGCTTTCAAAAGATGCTCCCAGGCCTTCGAGCGCTAACATTGCATCAACCCAGATTCATCATAATTGTGACTAGTATTTTATTAACAATAATAATTCTCTGCACTGGCCATCAATGTGTCCACAGCCAATCCAGGGACACTCAGCAGGGGTTGACGCACGCGTGCCCCGCAGGCTGGTGAGAGACAGCATTTTTCTCCCCAGATATGCGGCAACCCTCGATTAGAACTTGGGACGCCCGTGACACTGCCACCCGCGATCCCCGGTAATCGAGCCAGGCTTGTCACTGGGCACCTGAGGCAGTTGCATCGGCTCTGTCCCCCACTGTGGACGGCCAACGATTCCAGGCCATACAAGGCACGGCATTGAATAGCCTTGAGTCACCAATGAGATGGCATCTTGCTCGTGCCATTTCAGGTTTGTTTTCTCTTCCCCCCCCCTGAATTTGACCAGGAAAAATCTCCGTCTTGGTCCCACCTGTCACCTTGACACCTTTGCATCCTCTCCGGCAGAGACAGAGCCGGCCCCCGCCTCGGACCCTTCCCCGGGCCTGTTTAGAATTCAGTGACATCAGTTTGATTCTATCGCAGTTGTTTTTATGGTCGCCTTTTATTTATGTTAAGTGAAGCTGGTGTGGTACCAAGTTTCCTTTTCCAGGGAATTTATGGAAGAAAGTAGAAGGTGACTGTAAAGAAAGTATGAAAGGGATAACTAACAGTTTAGGTCAGGGGTCAGCAAACGATGGCCCCGGGGTCAAACCCGGCCCACTGCCTGTTTTTGTGCCGCTCATGAACTACGAATGTTTTTACATTTTTTTAATGGCTGGGAAAACATCAGAAGAATAATATTTTGTGGTATGTAACAAACATATGAAACTCGAATTTCAGTGTCCATAAACAAAGTTTAAATGGCACACATCCAAGCTCATTCGTTGACGTCTTGTCTAAGGCTGCTTTCACGCCACAGTGGTACAGTGGCGTGGCTGCAAAAGAGACCGAATGACCTGCAAAGTCTAAAATATTTATTATTTAACCCTTTATAGGAAGAGTTTGCCAATTTCTCGTGGAGACGGTTGGTTGATACGGCAAAGATCTCGCTGATGGTACCAGAGTGAGCGAATCCGTCATTGGAACTCTGGGAGACTGTCATCATTTGTTTCTACTCAGTTTACAGGTGAGGAGGAAACTGAGGCTCAGAGAGGTTTAGTGACTTACCTGAGGTCACACAGCAAGTTAGCAGCAAGCTAGGATTTGAACCCAGCTCGGATTCAAAAGGGGCAGGGAGTGCGTGGGGCTGAAAATAGCATGAGATTTGCTGATCTTTCTTCCCTCAGCTCCCATGCCCTCGGCCCTCCGTGGCCTCCAAACACACCTGGTGCTTTCTCACTGCTGCACCTTTGCTCTTACGCCCGCCCTCCTCTTCTCATTCTCAACCCCGGCAAGATGCCCCCTCCTCCGAGAAGTCTCCCCAAGTGCCCATCCCTCCCAGACCCACGGGTGGAGGCTGTGGATTTCCTAAGGCTGCGGCCCCCTCCCCAACCTCAGGAGAGGCCCTGGAGAGCAGGAACGGTGTCCCACCCAAAGCCCAGATGACTTAGCAGGACAGAGAGGCCCTCCGTGCCTCGAGCGCCACCTCCTCCTGCTCTCGCTTGCTGCTCCAGCGGTGCTGAGCTGGGACTCCCAAACCCCCTGCGAGCTCAGGACTCTGCACCTCTCTCTGCACAGGCTGTTCCTTCTGCTGAAAAACCCTTCCAGTCTCTCTGCACCTAACTCCTATTCATCCTTCAAAGCCTCAACCAGGCAGCAGGATAAAGACCACTGTGTACCCCATTCTCACCCCCAAAAGAGAAGATCCATCCCTCCCCCGGGCTGTCTCCGTGGTCCCCCCAATGGGTGAGGCTGTAGGATGGGTGCCTCACCCTGCAGAGTCTGCAGCCAAACAGGCTGGGTTCCAATCTGGCTTTTGCCAGTTCTAACTGTGTTCTTAGACACGCAGCTGAGCCTCTCTCTGCCTTGGCTGCTTCACCTGTCAAATGGGCACGGTAGGAGCTGGTGCCTGGGGGCGACGCTAAGACTGAGTGGGAGAGCAGCCGTGGAGCCCCTACCTACAGTAAGCGCTCCATAAATGCTTGCTGCTGTCACTGCACTGCATCTGTCCTTGTTGGTTTCTTTGTTCCCCCGCCCTGCGATTGTGTTCTGTGGAACTGGGGATGGGCTCTTATCTGCGTGGGACAACTCCCTCGTGCCTCCCGCAGAGCCGGGTCTGGGTCAGGCATTCAGGACAGGCGAGTCCGCTCCGCACCTCCACCCACCCCGCTCCCAGCCAAGCAAAGCAAATCGCCCGGGATGGGGCAGGGGACAACTCAGCCTGCCCCAGCACAAACCTGCCTTCCTATGGGGGTCCCAGGGCTTGCCGGGGGCTGCCCCCACATGGCCCCGCCGTCCTCTCGCGAATCAGAGGACAGTCCCCATAAACGCTGGCTTACGGGCCCCGAAACAGACTCCGAGGCTTGCCTCCAGCCGGAGTCCCTGGAACCTCAGCGGAGGCCACAGCGGCGTCCTCACCCCGTCCAGCCCCCAGGCTCTCCCCTGCAAGCAGGCTGCCCCCAACACGTAAATCTGCCAGGAACACAGCCCAGCCAGAGACACGCCTCAGTGGTGTCCTTGCAGCTGGGCCGGGGCCGGGGCAGCAGGATGCAGAACACGGCGCAGCCTCCGGGAACGCCGGAGCCCCGAGTCTGAACGGAAAGGAGACGGGTCAGCTGCAAAACAGGCTCCACCACAGGAGGATGGAGCACGTGGTGGCGAAGAGCCCGGGCTCTGGGTTCAAGTTCAGACATGACAACGTGATAGCCATGTGGCCTCGGGCAAGTCACTTCACCTCTCCAAGCCTCAGTTTTCAACCCAGTGAAATGGGGACAGTAGCTCCTGTCTGTCGGCACTGCCGTGAGGTGCGCTGACGCTCGGGAAGCACTTTGCACAGGGCGCCAGGCACAGAGTACGGGGGTGCCCCATTTATCTGAGGTTCCCCCGCCCGTGGTTTCAGTTACCCGGGGTCAACAGGGGTCTGAAGAGAGGTGAGCACTTATAGTACAATAAGATATTGTCAGGGGAGAGACCTCATTCATATGACTTATAATTACAGCACATTGTCATAATGGTTCTATTTTTAGTTATTGTCGTTAATCTCCTCCTGTGCCTGGTTTGTAAACTAGACTTCGTCACAGGGGTGCGTGTGTGGGCAGACACGCAGCGTGTGTGGGTATGTAGGGTCCGGGGCCGTCTGTGGTCTCAGGCATTCGCTGGGCGTCCTGGCGCGAATGCCTCGCAGACGAGGGGACGCCGTGACCCCCCAGTTCACCCAGCGCTGATCATCACCGTAGGCACTCCCTCCGGCTCTCGGACAATCCCGGGGCCCCCGCTCGCTCTCTGGGCCTCAGCTCCTCCGGGGTGAGCCTCACCCCGCGCCCGCCTGCGCGGGAAAGAGCAGAGCGCCCGGGCGAGCAGGCGGGGAGCACGAGGCAGCTGGGCTGGCTGTAGCCCCCTTGGGACCACAGCGCCCCAGAGCCAGCCTGAGACAAGAACAGGTGCCCTACCGGGGAGGCGGTCCCAGGAAACACAGGTAGGGGAGTGGGAAGGCAGCGCCACCTCCATGGGACGGCCTCAGTCCCCACAGGCAGTCCTGGGAGCCAGTGTAGACTGGGAGCCCAGGGGGCCGGGGTCTCCATCCTCCAACTCCTGTCTGTCGTTTAGTGACTGTGAGCGTTGGGGGGGGTGTTAATTCCCCAGCACTTCACCCCGCTGTGGAGGTGGCGCAAGGAAGCCCCCGGGCAAGGAACCGGCGGTGCCAGCAGCCCAAAGCGGGACCCGTGTGCTGCGCTGAGGGTGAGGGCCCCCCGGGCACCCAGGGCCTCTGCTGCGGGCCCCTGCTGCGGGCCCCTGCTGTGTGCCCCTACGACTTCTCGCTCAGTCCCCCAACGGCCTTGCATGATGGGTGTCATCGTCTCTCCACTTTAGAAACAGCTTCCTCGAGCATGATTTACAGAACACAAACGCCGTTCGTTTTAAGTGGGCAACTCGGTGCTTTTCAGCACATTCTCGCAGCCGGGCCAACCGTGACCACGGTCTGACGTCGGGACATCGCCCGCTCACGGCCACCACCCACTGCCCCGCCAACTCCCCAGCCCGTGGCACTCACTGATTTCCAGTTTCACCATTGTCTGTCGCCATAGATTTGCCCCCTCTGGGCACTTGACGTAAATGGAATCGCACACTCCAGGGCCTTTTGTGTCTGCCTCCTTCCATTTGGGATAAAGTTTTTGATGTCCGTCCCCCATCCACTGTGTAGCTGCCTCAAACTCCATTCTTTATTTTTGAGACAGAGTCTCGCTTTGTTGCCCAGGCTAGAGTGAGTGCCATGGCATCAGCCTAGCTCACAGCAACCTCAAACTCCTGGGCTCAAGCAATCCTCCTGCCTCAGCCTCCCAAGTAGCTGGGACTACAGGCATGCGCCACCATGCCCAGCCAATTTTTTCTATATATATTAGTTGGCCAATGAATTTCTATTTATAGTAGAGACGGGGTCTCGCTCTTGCTCAGGCTGGTTTCGAACTGCTGAACTAGGACAATCCTCCCGCCTCGGCCTCCCAGAGTGCTAGGATTACAGGCATGAGCCCCCATGCCCGGCCCCCATTCTTTTTTATTGCCAAATAGTGTTCCATTGTGTCAACCCAAAATAAGTGACGGAGGCAAAAATCTCCATCAATGGCAGTTTATTAAGCCAAAGTCGAGGACGTGCCCAGGTAAAAATACAAACCACAGACAAACATGTGGCTATTTTTTCCAAAGGAGAATTTGGAATTCTTAGCATTTAAGGGAGAGTAGGGCATACAGGAAAGGAAAAAAAAAAAAAGGCAGGGGACGGGGTAGTAGGAAAATCTACATTTCACATAAGGTAAGGCAAATGTTAGAAAAGGAAAAAGGAGGAAAGAAAGCATCGGTTATGTGGATGTCGCTGGGAAGGTGAGAGAACGGCTGACCCTGTATTGTCTCTGTTCTGCACCTGTGAAGACAAACTTGTCACTTATTATTAGTGTGGAACAGAGCAGACTTTAGTTGTAGGAGCTGGATGTGGCCGGCAGACCTAAAGTTACAATTTGCACGTCCTCACTCATGGGAGGCCAGCCAGGAACGTCCTTACTGAATGACCTGTGGGGCCAGCCCTTCCCCCGGCCTGAGGCCTTTACCTGCCCCTTTTGCATAAGGATTGGCGTGGGGGGGGCAGTCCTGAGATTTTTATTTTCTTTTTACAATTGTAGGGCTATACCACATTTTGCCTATTCTTCCTTCATCAGTTGGTGGCAATTTGAGCTGTTTCTGCTTTTTGGCTGTTATGAACAGTGCTGCTACACACCGCCACATACAAGCATTTGCGTGGCTGTGTTTTCATTTCCCCTGAGTAGGTTCTTAGGAGAAGGATTGCTGGATCATAGGGTAACGCCGTTCACCACTTTAGAGGAGGCTTTTCCCGAGCAGCTGCCCCTCTCGGCATTCCTGCCAGCAGTGCAGGGAGGGTCCAGTTATTGACACCCTCGCCAACACCTGTGACTGTCTGTCCTTTTAGACTGGCCGCTCAGGTGGGTCTGCAGTGGCGACTCACTGTGGTTTCGGTTTGCATTTCCCTACCGGTGCAAAGCACTGAAGGTGTGCTGAAGGTCCCTACCGGTGCAAAGCACTGAAGGTCTTCTTTGGAAATGTCTATCCAAATCCTTTGTCCATTTTTCACTGGATTATGTGTCTACTTCATTATCTCCCTTTTACAGATGCGCAGACTGAGGCTCAGAGAGGCAGAGCAGCTTGCCCACAGCACCACAGCTTGCGGACGGGCCAGCCTGAACTTGACACTACCCAAGCTGTCTCCACATTTGGCCTTATTCCCTGGAGGCACGTTTGGAGGTTGGGTGGGAGCTCAGCTTTTGGTTCTTTGGAAATGCAGCGGGTAGAGAAGCTGGGAGACTCCTGGTGGCTCCCACTTTTAGAGATCTCAGAGAAAGGCACTTCGCAGCAGCCCCTGCCCTCCCTGTGTGCCTGTGCCCCTCCCCAGGGACCAGGTCGCAGCCGAGCCCATCC